TCCACCATCAACAACAAAAAACAGGGTCAAACTCAGCAAAAACAAAAACAAACACGGAACACACAAACCGCAAAAGTTAACAATTTGCTGCATTGCACCATGCGACACATCACACCCTCAACTGTTTGCATGTCTTCAGCCTTCGCCACCAACAACGCCGTCGTCGTCGTCCACACCGTCAATTACGAAGAAACAGAAGTCAACGATGGGGTGGACAAACAACCCATCCATGTACACCTCTTTCAGCGTTCCTCCTCCCTTGTTGGTGCAGAGTCAATGTTCTGCCCATAGCCAAATTGACCCACCCCTCCACGCTGCCTTGTCGTTGTGGTGCCTATGAGGAAAGCGTGGGAAATTCACTTTCGTTAACTAAGTTAGCAGTGTTCAGCGTTAAAACGGCAACGCCCCGATTTGTATGGTTCGTTACGGTGGCAGGTATGTTGTTGCATGTCCGACTACAAGCGGCAACAACAAATGAAGATTATTTAATTGCCGGCAAAATTCAAAATAATAAAATGAAAACATAATTTGGCATCCGTGAATTTATAGCTTCAATAGAATATTGTTTACACCCTCCACCATAATATGGAGGATATATTGAGTTTGTCATTCCGTTTGTAACACCTGCAAAAAAAAAAAAAAAAGGAAAAAAGCAGTAAGTTCGGCCGGGCCGAACTTTGAATACCCTCCACCATTTGGAACGAATTAGAAATTTTTCAAAAAAAAATAAATCCAATAAAAATTCTTTTAAAATCTTTAAAATAGCTAATATAGGAAGGTGCCGATATATGGGGGGATATACGATATTGTGGACCTATAAAGACAAATCTATGTCTGCGTGTAAAGTACTCACAAGGAACTCCTTGTATGGATTTTCAGATAATTCCATTGGAAAAAGTGGCTAAAATCATCAAAATACCGAATATAGGGGAGTACCGTTATATGGGGGATATACGATATTGTGGACCTATATAGCCCAGGTATAAAGTACCCACAAGGAACTCCTTGTGTGGATTTTAAGACAATTCCGTTGAAAAATGTGGGTAAAATCATCAAAATACCGAATATCGGGGGGTACCGTTATATGGGGGATATACGATATCGTGGACCTATATAGACAATTATTTTTGAGGAGGTAAAATGCCCACAAGGGACTCCTTTTGTGGAATTTCAGACAATTCTATTGAAAAATGTGGCAAAAATCATCAAAATACCGAATACCGTGGGGTACCGTTATATGGGGGATATACGATATCGTGGACCTATATAGACAATTATTTTTGAGGAGGTAAAATGCCCACAAGGGACTCCTTTTGTGGAATTTCAGACAATTCCGTTGAAAAATGTGGGTAATATCATAAAAATACCGAATATCGGAGGTACCGTTACATGGGGGCTATACGATATTGTGGGCCTATATAGATAATTCTCTGCCTAGGTATAAAGCACCCACAAGGAACTCCTTGTGTGGATTTTCAGACAATTCCGTTGAAAAATGTGGGTAAAATCATCAAAATACCGAATATCGGGGGTACCTTTATATGGGGGATGTACGATATCGTGGACCTGTATAGAAAATTTTCTCTCAGGGGGTAAATTACTCGCAAGGAACTACTTGTGTGAATTTTAAGACAATTCCATTGAAAAATATGGCTAAAATCATCAAAATGCCGAATATCGAGGGGTACCGTTATATGGGGGTTATACGATATCGTGGACCGATATAGCCCATCTTCGAACTTGACCTGCCTGCAGACAAAAGAGAGATCTGTATAAAGTTTTAGCTTCCTATCTTAATTCGTTTAGACTGTAGCGTGATTACAACAGACGGACAGACGGACGGACAGGGCTAAATCGTCTTAGAATTTTACACTGATCAAGAATATATATACTTTGTTGGGTCTAAAATGATTATTTCGATGAGTTACAAACGGAATGACGAACTGAATATACTCTTCATACCTTTTGTGGTGGAGGGTATAAAAAAAAAAAATATATATATATATGTATATATATATATATATATATATATATATATATATATATATATATATATATATATATATATATGTATATATATATATATATATATATATATATATATATATATATATATATATATATATATATATATATATATATATATATATATATATATATATATATATATATATATATATATATATATATATATACATATATATATACATATATATATTCTTGATCAGCATAAAATTCTATGTCGATTTAGCGATGTCCGTCTATCAGTGGAAATCACTCTAGCTTCCAAACGAAATGAAGTAGGTTGGTAAAATGTCACTCAGATATGTATATGTTCTGCAGGATTTTTGGTTTTGAAAATGGACCATATGGGTTCACGTTTTGTTATAGCCCCCAGCAGTACCTTCCTATATTCGGTATTTTAATGATTTTAACGACAATATTAGCCGGAATCGTTTTAAATTTTGCATTTTAAGTCCCTAATGGGTATTGCAAACTATAACAGAAAGTTGACTATGCGGGTTCACGTCTTCGTATAGCCCCCATATAACTGTACCTCCCCAAATTCGGTATTTTGATAATTTTTGGGATATTATTCAACGGAATTTTTTTCAAATTTCGTACTTGCAGTTCGATATTTTGTAAATTTTTGGGATATTATTCAACGGAATTGTTTCAAATTTCATACTTGCAGTTCAAAACAAGTGCTACAGCCTCTTTGAATTCAGTATTTTGATGTTTTTGTGACATTATACACAGGATTATTTTTTTCAAGTTATTTTTTTTTTCAAGTTTCCTGGAAAATTTTGTAGGAAACCCCAAGAAATATATATATTCTTGATCAGCATAAAATTCTAACGTGATTAGCGATGTTCGTCCGTCTGTCGTTGGAAATCACTCTAGCTTCCGAACGAAATGAGGTAGGTTGATAAAATTTTACTCAGATGTGTGTTTGTTCTACGGGACTTGTGGTATTGAAAATGGGCTATAGTGTTTCACATTTAGGCATAGCCCCGTTCAAGTACTTCTCAATTTTCTGCCACATTTTCCAATCAAATCAGGTGAAAGTTGACAACTGAGGTAGTCGGTAGGTCATTTCTCTCCTTGCAAAAATGTTAAATTCAGATCCACTAATTGGTCTAGCCCCCATATAGCGATACCTCCTGATTTTCGATATTTTGAAGGTTTCTGACACAACTTCCACAATTTGATATACAGGGTGAGATGAAAAAACTGCAACCAACTTCAGACTGCTGTCATTTCTAAGCCACTCGCCCGACAGCTGTTAAAATTATTCCAGTTCCATTCCAGCTCATTATATTGTTTACAAGCGTACAAAAGCATTTTGGTGAGAATTTTCCGGAATAAAAGTTATTCGTGATGTAATTCAAGCGTAATAGTGTGATTTCTTTATATTTAGCTGGAAAACCACAAATGGCTATCGTTAGAGTACTCCAGCATTTAAATATGAATAAATCTTTTGTGTCTTGTACCATCGCTCGAAAAATGGCTCGTGAGCTGAACATATCGCAATATTCCATTCGGCAAATATTGAAAAATAAGATCAGGGTAAATTCCAAAAAGTGCAAGAAGCAGTCCAGCAGTTTGTGAACAAACTAAATGATCGCGTTTACTTGCCAAAGAGGTCAGCTAAAAATATGGATCTTCAGTTGGCCACCAGAACTCAAGCACCGGCCATGGTGATGGTGTAGGCCGCCATAAAAGCCGATAGTCGCTCTCCGCTCGCATTAATCGACCGTTGGATTAGAATAAATGCCGAAGATTACAGCGAAAATTTTCTGGAGGGTGTATTAAAGCATTGGTCACGCAAATATTTTGGCCGCAGACCTTGGACATTCCAATAGGACTCAGCTCGCGCCACCCAGGAATGGTTACAAAATGAGGTTCCTCGCTTCATTTCCAGCGCACAATGGTACCAAAATCTCAGGATAACAATTCTTTGGACTATTGTGTCTGGCGTATTTTGGAAAGCAAGGTTGATACTAAAAAGCAAGCGCTGCGCCGGGAATGGGTCAAAATACCGCAGAGCAACATTCGGACAGCGTGTGACGGTTTCAATGGCCGTTTGAAGTCCATAATTCATGCCAAAGGTAACCAATTCGAACAAATCTAAACTTAGTCTAAAATTTGATGGTATTTCCGACATTTCCGAATTAAAAAATGTAAAAGTTATGGCATTTGACTTTGTTGCAGTTTTTTATCGCACCCTGTATGTGTTTCATCCCATTTGATATTGCAGCCCTATGTAATGTGCGATATTCGGGAGATATATATATATATATATATATATATATATATATATATATATATATATATATATATATATATATATATATATATATATATATATATATGATTTCATGTTTATTGTAGACCAAATTGTTAATATCAGTCCCAATTGGAGGGATTTTTTTTGTGAACATCGTTTTAGCTATATATCCAATGTATATGCTTCGCCCGACTATAATTTATGTCTTTCCAAAGTCACAATATACACCATATAGCAATGATATTCGATACAAGAGGTCACATACAAAATAAAATCTAAATAATCTCAATATCAGCAAAATTTGGTAAAATCATATTGACATCATGCTGTGGGCTATACCGGAACTTGGACAGATATTGCCCATTTTCTTCCTGAGGCTTCTAAAAGCATTACAAGCCGCCATATATTATCAATCTACTTCCAATATTTTTATGACATTGCGACACTGTGCGGGCGGGACCATTTGGTGTCCTTTCTGTGCTATTTAATTTCATCTTTTTTTAAATTAAAAAAAAATAAAAACAAATGAAAATAAAAAAACAAAATATTTTACTTTTTTCAAATGCAAATTGTTTTCTTTGCAATTCAATATTGGATTCTTTATTTTTTCTTTGACATTAATAAAAAAAAATATAAAAAAGGATTACAAACTAATCATAACCAATTAATATAAATAATTATAACTAATATAAATTTGTTTTTTTTTTTTTTTAATTCATTAAAATAGAAAACTGAAACAATTTTAATGCAGGATTGTTAATAAATAACGGCTTAAGATGCTAAATGAAACAGGATATTCTTAAAGAAAACAGGATTAAAAAATAGAGAGAAAGAGAGCAAATTAATAAAACTTAACATGTATTTTGCTTTGTAAAAAATAAACGCAAGAGTTTGGCAAATTACATTGAAATCGATTTAAACAATAACAGTAACAATCGATTTTACAGGATAGGCTAAAACTACATAAGGGAGTTGGGGAAAAATTAACAATTTAAAAAAAAACATATGTTGTGACAAAATTCATGGAATGATGGTTAACTACAGGGGGAGGGGGCAAGTGACATGTTTTCAAAACTAAAAATTTTTCTAAAATTTTTAAAATCAACTAAAAAAGATAAAAACAGAAAATTTAATTCATTTTATGAAATCAAAAATGTAAAACAAAAAAATATATAAAAATAAAACAACAAAGAAACTTAGTAATTATTCGAAAATTTTTTCAGCAAGAAAGGACTTATTTTAGACAAAATTAGTTTCTGTTCCCAAATTAGAGAAAAGGAATTTTAAATTTGCAAACAAAAGGAGTTGTATGTTTTGAGCCCTAGGGAGAATTCTTGGTTTGTTGGCATTTAAACTAAACTCTAAAAGACTAAACTTAAAAACTAAAAAAAATTACAAAATGAATAAATAAATAGGGTTAAAAATTAACTAAACTAATTGTTGTTCTTAAAAAATAGCTTAATTGTTGATTGATTGGTTGGTTGGTTTGTTTGTTTTGCCATATGCTAAAAAAATAAACAATAGTTGATGTTTTGAAATTATTTTTAAAATTAACTTAACTAATAATAATGAAAAATTACAAACTAACAAATGCTTTAGTAGGTGTTTGTTTTGAAAATTAATACTATATAAATTTTTTGTTTTGCTTTTGTTAAAAAATAAACAGAGTTACAACGAAATTAAAAAAAAAACGTTAACAAAACATCTTTGTGTAATTTGAACTAACATTTTGTTTTTGGGTGTAAACAAAACAAAAGCTTGCCTGAGAAAAACGTTGGCACAACCTATACAACAAAAATTGGTTAACGTTTAGCTTCAAGCGTGTCATTATAGCTTAGAAAAAATTAAAGTGGAGGACCAAACAAGGACTACTCTCGTCCAGAGATTGGAGAGATTTGGAATACCAAAATTGAGAAATGATTCCTCCAGTTATCCCCAGAAGGCGCTGTCCCATTTCTCTTCCTCTCCTGGCCCTTTTATCATCATTGTAGACTCTCTTACTGTAGTTTGTGCTTAATTAGTTAACAATTTGTAAACTTTCTATGGTAGTTTAGTATTAGTTCTAGTAGTTTGGGGGGCGGGGGGAAATTTCCTTTAAACTTAGACTCAGTCTTGGCAGAGAGATTATCGATTAATTTGTCTTGCTAGTTATATGCTGCTAATAAAATCATAATAAAATTAATTACTAATTATAGTTATCCTGGCCTTAATGCTTACAAAAATATTTACTTTAAACTTGGCAAGTTTGGAGGCGGCTAATTTCATGATATTCAAATGTACATTTCTAGTATTTAAAAAAAATCTGGTATATCTTCTTCGTGTTTTTCAACTAATATCATTTGCATGTGTAAAAGCTTTCTCTGTAACGAAAGCTTTGCGGATTGACATACCACAGGCCAGGAGCATGAGCGCGGGCGCTTAACTAGGCACTCTCTGTCTTCACCACAATCGGCAAAGTAGCACCAATGCTGTTGTTAAGCGGCGATGTCCTGGTGTAGTCTTCGGACTTCAACATCATGGGAAGATTCATTTTCATATCAGCCAAGAGCGGCAATGTTGGTTTGTTCTCGCCACCCATTTGATGGTGGCCGGGTGGTCCACCTTGTCGCTGTTGCTGTGACTCATAGCGGGTATGGGTACGCATGTGTCGGGTAATCATGTCTCTTCGGCAGGCAGCATAAGGACATTGGGGACACTTGTAGGGCTTCTCGCCGGTGTGGGTCCGCTGATGTGTTGATAAGTGATCGGAACGTGAAAATACCTGTCCGCACACCTTGCAGGTGTAGGGCTTGACGCCGGTGTGCAAACGCATGTGACGTGTCAACATATCGGAGCGGGCAAAGGAGCGATTACAAACTTCACAGGAGTATGCTTTGGCAATGTCATTCGAGGGGTTGCGGGACTTGTGCCGCGAGGCCATGTGTTTGGCCAGACGATCGTGCAGTGAAAACATTTGACCGCACACGGGACACACATATGCCACATCGGAGCCGGGTGGCATTTCTTCGACCACGGGGGAAACATCTAGATTGTAACGCCATGCCACCGACTCCTTTGTGGTGGGTGATGCCACATCGCCCTTGATGACGGGCACCCCCACCGTTGTACTGTGGGCATGATGATGCAAGGGATGCATGGGCATTTCCAATTTAATCATGGCTGCGGCAGCTGCAGCTGCTGCAGCATGGGCAGCCGCTGCATGTGTCAAACCGTAGGGTGAAACGGGGGCGGAGGAAACCCCAGAAGTTGTCATTGTATTCGTGGAACTACTCATGCCCCCACTGCTGTTATGCCCAGAACTGGATGGTGACATGGCAGCTGAGATCGGTTGTTGGCTGGGTGGCAACATCATTGTGGTTGCCGGCAAGGGGGAGGATGATTTGTACTTCTTGGCATTGCCATTGTTGGAACCACCCGTCCCACTGGCCATCAGCTCGCCCGTTGGTGTGTTACCTCCACTCCGCACGGATAAATCCAACGGCCTCTCCTGTGGTGGCGGCATTATGGCAGGATCTGAAGTATTGGCTGCTGTCGTCTCACTTATTGACGTTTCACTGCGTGGAGGCGATGGCAATGCCATGGTCACACTGTGTGGCGGTGATTGATTCGAAGTGGGCATAAACTCGGGCATTTCATGAGATCTTTCCATTTTCTGGTGGTATTCCTTCAACTCCTTCGCTGAGGGCGAGGTTTCATCCATTTGCGACGAGGCAATAGATGAGGGTGTGTGCTGCATGGGCGAGGTATGGAGATCCTGTCTCCTTCGAAATACTTCATTGAGATATTTGGTATGGAGATAGTAACCAAATAATGGTGAAGGTATGGGAAAGTAACGATCATAGGGGCTGTTGGGTAGGTGTGGCTCAGTCTTGATGTCAACGGTGAGAGGATTTTGAGGTTCTTCCGTTTTGATAAACTTTGCCGCGGGTAGTGTAGGATCGATGTTGTTATTATTATTATTGTTGTTATGGTTTTTATGATCTGCTGGACTCAGGCTAACCCTAGGACTGCCTTCATTGTCTCCGCTTATGGACATTTCTTCTTCTACCGACTCGGCCACATCGCCATCCTGCGTGCGTTCCTCGTTGTCACTTAGACTGGTGCGATTGTGGGGTGATGGCATTTCTACATCCTCATCCTCATCGTTGTTGTTGTTAGCCTCTTTCTTGAGATCATCCTTATCCATTACCAGATCATCCTGGTATTCATTTTCCAGATCCATGTTATTGGCGCTGTTGTTGTTGTTGCTGCTGCTACCACTGCTGCCAGAACTATTGTGATGATGCAGTTTATCCAGAACCGCCGATAGACGCTTACGTTTCCTCTGCTTCCAAGGCATAGTGGGATTGCTTAGCGAGTTACTAGAGCTGTTTGTGCTATTGTTGTTATTGTTGGTGGCATTATCTTCTTCGCGGGTATTATTGTTACTGTTGCTGCTGCTGCCAGTGACTGCAGCCGCTGCCGCAACAGCAGCCGCAGCTGCTGCCTGCTGATGCAAACTCAAGGCCAATGGCAGGTTATGTGGCAAACCATAGGGCAAATGGGTATAGGCTTCATACTGATGCGAGGCTGCTGCTGTTTGATGTTGCTGATAGTGGTGGTGTTGGTGGTGATGTTGCTGCTCCTGCTGGCGATGATGATGGTGATGGGATGCTGCATGATGCCCCATAGGGTCATTACCTTCTGCCATAGTCATTAGGTCACAGTTGTAATGAAAACTTTGTTCCTTTCGAGTAGTTGGACCTTAAGTCGGTGTGGCAAAAGACGAAATCTTTTGATTGGAACTTACGATGTGAGGGGGCTGTGGTGGCTGATTGGGTCCAAGTCCAATTCAGTTGTTGATGCTGCAAAGATACCAAAAAACGTAAATTTTGGTTAGATTTTGAAAACCGTAAAAGCAAATTATTTTTATATTTATGCATTTAAATTAAATTAATAAATAATTTAAATTAATAAATAAATAATAATTAAAATTAATTTTATTAACGAGAAATTAAGAAATAAACTTTTAAAATCTTCTGTTATCGGTAAATATTATGTTTACGATTATTTCATATTTTTTTATTATTATCATTATTATGTGTATTATTATTATTATTATTATTATTATTATTATTATTATTATTATTATTATTATTATTATTATTATTATTATTATTATTATTATTATTATTATTATTATTATTATTATTATTATTATTATTATTATTATTATTATTATTATTATTATTATTATTATTATTATTATTATTATTATTATTATTATTATTATTGTTATTATTATTATTGTTATTATTAGTATTATTATTATTATTATTATTATTATTATTATTATTATTATTATTATTATTATTATTATATTATTATTATTATTATTATTATTATTATTATTATTATTATTATTATTATTATTATTATTATTATTATTATTATTATTATTATTATTATTATTATTATTATTATTATTATTATTATTATTATTATTATTATTATTATTATTATTATTATTATTATTATTATTATTATTATTATTATTATTATTATTATTATTATTATTATTATTATTATTATTATTATTATTATTATTTATTTATTATTTAATTAATTTTTTACTTTTGAAGAAATTTACTTTTATTGAAGAAATTAAATTTAGAGATTTTTCGTAAAAAAATTCTCCATTTTTCAATACAACCCCTTTAAATTAAATTTAATTTCAGCACCTTTTCAGTAATTGCCTGCCCTTTCCCTAACCTTTATGCGACTTTCTTAAATATGCCTTCCTCTGAGAGTGAGTAACTTCGTAAATATGTTCTTAAGTATCTTTCAGTAGAAGGTGGTTTGTTGTTTTTACTGCATTGCGCTTATCCTTATTTGATATATGAGAATTGTTTTCCTTTAGATTATCCTTATAAGTATAACAAGCAAACAACCAAACACAATAATGCAGCACCATGGCAAACATCCATCCACACACACAAACATTGCACGTTACATTATTTTCCACATCACTAAACTAAATAGCTCCTTAAGGGCATACATGAAGCGCTACTGAAGTGAGAGAAATGTTGTGGGAGGAGTAAAGGGCTGACACACAACACTGCAAGAATGTAGACACCGTATGGGGAAAAGACACGCTAGTTTAGCAAATATAAACAAATATTATACGGTACACATTAGATGAAGGAGGCCTTAGGGTATCCTGCTCCGCTTTTTTTTTCTTCTTCTCTTTTGATTTTAATAGTTTCTTGCCTAAGGATTTCCGTTGTTGGCATCTGAATATTGTTAGCAATATTCTTAATGTTTTTGTTTGTTGTTCTTCTTCTTGAGCATTCATGGAGGTGTGCATATTTATTTTAATGACTATTTTAACCCTACGTTTTTTTAAGGTGTAGATTTTGTTTATCCTTGTAAGGATTATTATGTCTGGATTTTGGAAAATAAGTATATTTATCTATGGCATGACCGTCATTGACTTGTTGATGTTTGATGATAGGAAGTTTTTTTTTTAAAGATGTGAAGGATATTATAAGAATGAATTACTTTCAAAGTATTTGATTGAAATAATATAAGAGCTTTAAAAAATTTATTCGGCTTTTAAAAATGGATTTTTAAAAATTATTCAAAAACTATTTTATCCTGCCTAAAGAATATTTGAAAAACCGGTATTACAATGTGCTGCAGACTGGTATTTTTTAATATTAAATTGCCCATTGAAATAAACTTTTAGGGATAAATTATATGATCTTTGCATACTTTTGGGCTCGGTGGTAATGAAAAAAAATGAACAAAAACATATGATCGGGAAAATAAAAATCGATTATTAAAACCGAGTTAAGGATTGTTCCCAAGGTAAAAGACGACACTAACTTTTTAAAATTTCTTTAGCAAATTTTTAAATATATCAGAAAAATTACAGTTTCTGAGGTTTATATTTCACATCACTCGACCGTACTTCTTCAAAGTTGCAGCAAATCGTAAGTTAACCCACTTTTTTGCAAAAAATGAAAGAGCTTGACTTGTATGACATGACAGCAGTGCCACATGCCACACAGCCCGCATAACATGCTATTAATTCATATAAAGCTTTCACGATTTTTCCTGAGTTGTATGATTTTTTTATCCCCCACCATACAATGAGCGGTGGGATGGGAATTTATTCCGTTTGCAAGACCTCGAAATATTCGTTAGAGACCCCAAGTATTTTATATATTCCTGATCAGAATAAAAGTATGAGGCGATTTAACGATATCGATCCTTCCTTCCGTATTTCTGTGAAAATCACGAGAGAGTCCACATTATTTAATCTAGAGCTTTGAAATTTGGCACAAGGGTATATATTATAGGTACTGAAAATACGCTATATTGGTCCACGTTTAGGTATAGCCCCCATATAACGATTTCTCCCGATTTTCGGTATTTTTGAGCTTTCTGGCACAACTTCGAAAATAGTTAGCTAAAACTTGACAATTGGGGTTGTCAGTAGGTCTGTTCTCTCCTTGCAAAAAATGTTCGATTCAGGTCCATTATTTGGATGATTTTAGCCAACAGAATTAACTCAAACTTGATATTTGGAGTTCGTAAAGGCACCACTTTCTCAGCAGGATTTTTTTTTATATTTGCAATTTCCTTTCAAATGGTGGAGGGTATAAAAAGTTCGACCCGGCCGAACTTGATCAGCATAACTCTAGCTTCCGAATAAATTAAAGTAGGCTGATACAATTTTACTCAAACATGTGTGTTTCTCTGCAGGACTTTTTGTATTGAAAATGGGCTATATAGGTCGTTTACCTGTATACCTCCGTATATTCGGTGTTTTGATAATTTTAGGGACATTATTCACCGGAATTATTTCAAATTTCGTATTAAAAGTTCCTAATAGGTACTACAGCCTATGACAGAAAATTGCATATGCAGGTCCAGGTCTTTGTATAGCCCCCATATAACCGTACCTCCCTATATTCGGCGATTTTGTGATTTAAACGATATTATTCACCGTAATGTGTATTACAGCATGTCGCAGAAAATTGCCATGCAGGTTCGTGTCCCTATATTCGGGGCTCTTAATCAATTTTTGACAATCGTATTTTCTTACAAATCACACTTCCAACCTATTATTTCAACAAATTCTGTTAAAGCTCGTTTTGAGACGGACAAATAATTAATTCCAGGAGAACCTTGTAATTAGATAGCGGGACACGTGACTGAAGCTATACACAAATTCAAATTTATTCCAAGAGCAATTATATAATTGGTATTTTCCCACATAAAAGTAAATTCTTAAAATGAAACTTAAGCTACACCCAAAATGCAGCTAAAAACAATACAGGTAAAGCGAAATTCTTGCAAACCATTTCCCCTCTTTTAAAAACACACACAGTGCAAATCTCGTTCTCTTTTATCTAAGCCATTAATGATATCATCATCATTATTTATAATTTATTGCCTACCCGCCCCAGCCCATAATCATACAAATGTTGTTTATTGCTTGGATTTTTTCCGTCTTAAGTACCATCCAAAAAATATTTTTTCACACATACCATAAGTAAGCATAACAGAAAAAAAAGCTATTTCTTTTCTTTTTCTTGAAAACCAAATAAAAAAATTGTCGCCCCTAAGTTTTCACACAAAACGAAAAACTTGAGAAGAGAAACACCGGCATGCAAACAGATAAACAACGAAATTTGTGTCGCACTAACTGCATTGCACGCACGATTGATCGCCCACACGCTGGATGGCGTTGTCATTGTCACTGGCTGGATGGCTGACTGGCTGGCTGGCGTATAACGTTATTTTTTTATTTTTTGCTGCTGCTGATAACACGTAAAGAAAGCAAATTGTTTAACGTTTGTTTAACAATTTGGTACATTTACCGTATGCGCCGGGGCAAAGGCATATTCACAAATCGAAACCATCTCCGGTATATTTGCAGTGTTTATTAGCTTCTCCTGGTATTTGGCTTACGACAAAGATTGTTGTTTTTATTTTTATTATTATTATTTTTGTGTTATGCACCATGGCTAATTGTTTGTGTGTGTGTTGGTGTGCGGTGCGGTACGAGTACATTGCACACCGAGTGTCATGATGGTTTAGTTAAATGCGCCATCAAGCGGCAGACATTACTTGTGTCAATATTTGAGAACTTATACAGAAATGTGGTATTCTTAAATCTGTTGTCGACGTCCAGCCGACGACCATCGTTTTGTACAAGAAAATAATATTGGTTTATTGCCTTGTTTGTTTAACACTTAAAACTGGAGTCATTTCACATTGGGTCGGTCTTCTTATCGGGATTTTTTTTTTTTTTTTTTTTTTTTTTTTTTTGCAAAGATGGACTCATCATGGGTGTCAGTGGTAGAATTCTGCGGTACTTGTATTAATTAGTGATTTATTTATCACTATACTGGCGGCGAGTGTGTAGAATGGGGGTGGATTAGCAAAATTTCTTTTTTATTTATTTTCGCATTAAACAATATTTTTTGGCAATGTTTTAACTTGGCAATTTGTTACATGGCCACTTAAACAAGCAAGCATAATCCTGTCATAAATTATGAGCGGTTTTTTTCTTCCTTTTTTGTTTCGTTTTTTTTTTTCGGGGAGTGGATTAATATGAAAAACTCCAGTAATAAGGACCCCCATTTAAATTAAGTACTTCACGACACATTAAATATTATCCACTTAACTTGTCAGAAAGCCAAAAAAAGGGAAACAAAAGTGGCATAAAAGCCAAGAAAAATAAAAAAAAATGTATAGGGAATAAAAGGAACAGGGGAAAATATTCATGATGTCTGGGTAATATTTCTAGCACAATTGTGCAAAACAAAAAATGAAGAACACTAGAGGTGAA